GGATTAATTTATATGGCACGTTTTTTTCTTTTAATAAGAAATCAATGAGCCATAAACAAAAGTTACTTAAAAATATGCTAGATTCATTTCAGTTTTAAAGAATTTATAAATCATAGGAAATTGATTTCAGCTTTTAATTGTTCTTGGTATTATCCTTGCCCAGTGCCCCATTAAGAAGAGATAACAGAGAGCCATGGCGTTGTCATCAGATATATTTGTCAAAAAATTACAACAATAAAAATCTGTTTCATTAGTCATCAAAAAATACTATTGGTTATTGTGAACACACGTTGGACTCTGAACATGTGTACCACTGACTCAGTTTTAGTTAAATGAATGTGTGTGAAGAAAGTTGCCCTAATTCACAGTATCTGTGGTAAGAAAACTTGCAAAAATACCTGTTTTCTTTTAAAAAAGTAAGATATTTTCTCTAATATAGCATTTTCAAGTAGCCCACAGTTCACCTGTACTTGTGTTGCTAATGAATAGATGGGAGAGCCAGTGATTATACTATTTGTAAGCTTTCTCTGTGCTGGGTCAAGTTATGAGCATCGGAATTTAACTAATCCTCACAATAACTTTATGAAGTAGGCTATATTATTTTCCACTTTTAACTGATGAGAAAACAGGAAGTGATTTCCCAAAGTTACACTGATATAAAATGGCAGAAGTGAACTTGAACTCAATGGTGTCAATAACATTTTTCAGTATATGCTCTGCTGCTTCTGTGGAGAGAGAGGGAATCTCGGATATATCATGAAACCCTAGTTCATACAATTGAGAAGAATAAAAGAGAAAATAAACATGGGTTTTTATTTGACTTGTAACTGAGGCAAGTAAGTTACAAGTTTGCAAGTAGCATTGGGGTGCAGTTCTGGATGAGAATGATGAGAACCTTCCCTTAGGGTTGGGGATGGAGAACTGAAGACTCTATGGGGACCCAGGAGGTGAGCAAGATCAAGTCCAAAGTAATGGCCTCTACTCATTATGCTGGTGCCCTCAAGGAAACAGGTGTAAAGTGTGAGTGTAAAAGAGTGTCCTGGGCAGTCTGTCCAGAGGCCAGTTTGACTGGAGTGTGCTCCCTGACAGAAGTGTGGGTACCTTTTATTTGCACAGAAATAGAATTTGAGTTAGAACATAGGAACATCTTTTAATATGTTTAAAACAACCCAAATGGGACAGAATTATGAAAAATATATAATTATCATATATGATTATTTATCTATCATCTATCTATCTATCTATCTATCTATCTATCTATCTATCTATCATCTATCTATCTATCTATCTATCTATCTATCTATCTATCTATCTAATCTATATCTTTTTCCCCCCTGTAGTACCGATAATTCAGTTTCTGGTTTTCTTTTTAAAAAAATTATCTTTGTTGCTGAAAGTATTATAGATATTCTCTTTTTCCCCCCACACTGATCCCCTTCCCTAGATCTTATCTATTTCCATGGGTTATGCATATATGCATATAATTTCTTTGGTTAATCTCTCCCAACCCACCAACACATCCACGCCTTCCCTTGAGATTCAACAGTTTGTTCCATGCTTCAATTTCTCTGGATCTATTTTGTTCATCAGATTCCACACATGAGAGAGATGATGTGAGACTTGTCTTTCTCTGACTGGTTTATTTCGCTTAGCATAATACTCTTCAGTTCTCCCAAATTTACTCCTCTGTTGTACTTGTGAACAAAAGTACACAAAAGTGACTGCATTGTAAATTTCTGCAAACACTTTTAAAGCCATTCTTATTACTATTTGGGTGGTAATTCTTTAGATATGCTCCATCTTGGGAACTAATCAGAACTGTGTTCTCTGAGTCAGGTTTGATTAATGTTCAGAGTATAGACATACTTTGAACTCAGATGAACTATCTCAGATGTGCAAGTTAAAAGAATAAATGAGATTCCTTAAATGATTAAGATTTATCTTGTCTCCCCCAATATTCTACAACTGATCAAACTTAAATTATATATTATGTTATCTAATTTATTAATTACTAAAGCATAAAAAGGCTAGATTTGATTTTTTTTTGTTTGAATAAGACATTATTTTGGGAGAAAATGTTAATGAAGAAGGATAATATCAGTATGATATTAGACCTATATTACAGTCTGCATATTTCTAGGGAGTTTTTAAGAATATACTTTGGGTTAAAATGCACCTGACAATTTATCACCACAATAGTGTGAAAATAGAAGGGTAAGCATCCTCTCTCTCTAAGAAAAGCCATGCAGCAACACCTTTCTATCTGCAGCACTTACCACCTGCTCAAAATAAAGGCCTCCTTTGCATAAAGGGACTAAAGCCAAAGGTATTCAATACTGAAAGAAGATATATTATACAATGGCAAACAATACGAGTAAAGGTGCTCAACAGTATTAATCATCAAGTAAACGAACATCAAAACCACAATGAGATATCACATCACCCCTGTTAGAATGGCTATTAAAGAAGACAAGAGATAACAAATGCTGGCCAGGATGTGGAGAAAAGGGAAACCTTTTGCATTGCTGGTGGAAATTTACATGGGCAAAGCACTATGTTAAACAGCATGGAGGTTCCTCAAGAAATTAAAAATAGAACTGCTATATAATCCAGCAATCCCACTTCTGGATATATACCTGAAAGAAATGCTGACACAATTGCAAAGAGCTGTCAGCACTCCCATCTTCATTGTAGCATTATTCACAAAAGTCAAGACATTCACCAATGAATGAATGCTTAAAGAAACTGTGGTATGTATATAATGAAATATTCAGCTATGAAAGGAAATTTATCTTGCCATCTGTGATAACATGGATGGATCTTAAGGGCATTACTCTAAGTGAAATAAATCAGCCAGAGAAAAACAAATGTTGTATGGTCTCATTTCTATGTGAAATCTAAAAACAGCAAAAAAAAACCTACAACAAACCGAATTCATAGAAACAGAGGGGGGTGGGAATGGTGAAAGTGGTCAAAGAGTACAAGCTTCCAGATATAATACAAATAATTCTGAGGCTCTGATGTACAGCACGGTATTTGTAGTTGACAATGCTGTATTGTATACTTGAAAGTGGCTAAGAGAGTAGATATTAAAAGTTTTCACTGCACACACAAAAGTGAGGTAATGACATGTTAATTAACTTTATTGTGATAATCATTTTGTAACATCTACCATATATAAAATCATCATATTCTACATCTTAAATTTATACAATGTTTTATGTAAATTATATCTCAATAAGGCTGGCAAAAAAACCCCAAAACTGAGGTATGTGTGATATCTACATTTTTATCTTCTGAAATGCACTTTAGTTACTAAACTCTGATCAATTGTTCAGAAGTTTTAAAATCAAGACACTAATCAGCTTTGGGCTTTTTACTAACATGGGTTCCTTTAGGACTGTTTACAAACTCATTAACAATGATTGAGTTTATATTTTAGAGATTTAGAGAAGGTAAACCTAACATTTTGGATTCTTGACATGGTTATAAGAGACACCTTTTTGTGGCATGCCTATGTTTGATTTATGCATACTCTTTCTCATTGGTCATGCATGAATCTAGTTTTCTTCATGTTTCTAAGTTTAACAATCAGATTTATATTTTGACTCAAAAATTCCTAGTTGTAGTTCTGTATATAAACATAAAAGCCAGCTGTGCCTTAGACCTTGTGTACAGATCATTTGTTGTTATCAAAGGGGTGTATGAGGCTAAAAGGCCACTTGTGACCCAAATGGAAATCTTGCAAATGGAACAGATCTCCAGTGTGCTCTTTGGTCTGTCTATCTGCTCTCTATGTTGAGTTTCAAAAGAGTAAGCAATATACAGCTGAACATAATTTGTATGAAACAAACTGGAATAGATTTTTTCAGGCTCAAAAATGATTTCTCCCTGATGTAGACAGACTTGATGAAGTCTTGATAATATCAGCAAAAACTAGCCATCTGAAACATAGGTAAGAAGAGTAGCTGCCCTCTGCTCATATTATACTAGTCGACATCTTTCAGTTTCCACCTTCAAGGCAAGAATAATTTTCTTGTATTAAATGCTTATTGTTGCACATAACCAATCTCTGTCCATTAGGGCACACAGCCATTTTACCCCATCCTCTCTTTCTCTTCCTTGATAGCTCATCAGGTTTTAAAGTGGAAGTGAGTTCCAGTTTACAGTTCATTCAGATTGTTCTGAGACTATCAAGCTGATATTTTTGAACTAAGCAAAAGAGGTCAAAATGGTTGTAAATGAACCAAACTTTCAATTGGGTGTGATTTGAGAATTCAGTGCTATAGTTTAGTTGCAATAGAAAATTTAAGAGCTCAAAAATTCCAGAATAATTCAGAATAAAATATCTTGGGTCTTTTTCCATTTTAAAATAAACTAAGCAATTCTGTGTGGCTGAGGATTGACAGCAAAATGTAGAATTTCTCACCAGGTAACTGCATTAGCAGCAAAACTCATAATGCATTCCATTTGTTGAAAATATCATGAAGGAGCCCTAGCTGGTTCGGCTCAGTGGTTGAGCATTGACCTATGAAACAGGAGCACATGGTTCGATTTTTGGTTGGGGCATATGACCAGGTTGCAGGCTCAGTCCCTAGTAGGGGACATGCAGGAGTCAGCCCATCAGTGATTCCCATCTTTGATGTTTCTATCTCTCTCCCTTTCCCTTCCTCTCTGAAAACATTAAAGATATATTAACCAAGCAATTGCTGGTTCGATTCCAAGTCAGAGCATATGCCCAGGCTGTGAGCTCCATTCCTAGTGTGTGTGTGTGTGTGTGTATGGGGGAGGGGGGAGAGAAGGATGTGTGTGTGCAGGAGGCAGCCAATCAATGATGTTTCTCTCTTATCCAAACGTTTCAGTGATCTTTGAAACTTTTATACTTCACAGCAACTCTCTCTTTTTCTAGATAGAAGTTTTTATGTGCATTCCATAAATATTATCAACAGTTCTTATATTACATAAACTTTATGTACATTTTTGTTTATAGTTTCACTTACCAGAATCAAGAGGCAACTTGAGGCCAATTTCGTGTGCTCAGGAATGGTGGAAAACACTGACAAAATCAAGCAACCAAAGACAAGGAGAAAGCTGTAAAATGACAACAAAAAAGAGAAATCTGATGAGAACCTTGCCTTATCATGACATACTTAATATCTCCTTTCTAACAAGTAAATCACCAGATCCATGTGACTTAGCACATGTGATTGATTAAATTATACACTCCCTGGAAGGGACAGGCCATTTTTAATAGCAAAATGCAATATGATGTAGGGTGCAAATGGGGGTCCTTTGTAACTGTATTGGTGAAGCAAAGGTTGTGTGTGCTGCATGCTGTATTTAAATGTCCACATTCTAGAATCTGGGAATTTTCCATAAACATCTTCCCAAGCAGGGGTTCTGAGAAAGGCCCAGAGAGTGTGCTCTTGAACTCCTTATCCCGGGAGCAAGTGCCACAGCTGCTCTTTCTTCAGAGAAGCCAAATCTGCCTCATGTTTACTCTTTTGGTGACATGTCAACTGTTCTAAATAGTTGTTACTAAGCCTCTGGCTCATGGATTTTTAATTTGTTATATTATTTTTTTTCAATCCTCAACTGAGGATATTTTTTCCCCACATTGATTTTTAGAAAGAGTGGAAAGGAGGGAGGAGAGAAAGAGAGACAGAGAGACAGAGAGAGAGACAGAGAGAGAGAGAGGCATAAACATGAGAGAGACACATCTATTGGTTGCCTCTGGCAGCCCCCCTTCTCCTGACTGGGTCTGAGGATCAAACCTGCAACCGAGGTGTGTGCCCTTGACTGGAAATAGAACCCACGACCACTGGGTGTGCAGGCCAATACTCTAACCATTGAGTCAAACCGGCCAGGGCTATTTCTTAATAATAATAATAATAATAATGATGGAAGGGAATAATTTCCTCTGATACCCACATGCTGTCTGCATCTTTAAGGTCAAACTATTAGAGAAAGGAGTCCTGAGCTTTGTCTGTTCGTATACAATGATAGGCAGCAGAAATCAGGAGCAGACTTTTCTACAAGTAATCTACAGGGAGTTTTTATTCTGAGAAATATGCAACTTCTGAGGGCTAAAGGGTTAACAACAATTTCCCAAGAAAATGTTTAAGAAAAAGGGAAGACTCTGTTGCAAAGTTGAAGTTATTTATCCTGAAATGCAAGATTAAAATAAAACAAATCTAACAATACCTGAGCTACTTGTTCTAGGCCATATTTTTCACCTTTACGTATCCCTGGGAAGTGCATATAATAACATCCCTGAAAATATCAGTCTCCATGTTCTTTAGTATGGCAGTGGTGTGGGTTCCCACCTCTTCTGGCTCACCTTGGCAAGTCTTATAAGTCTTTCTACTGCACTTGACTGGGAGCACAAGTGATTGGTGAATTATGGTCTTGGAGACATCTGTACTTTAATGCCTATTTTTATAAGTAAAGTTTTATTGGCACACAGATATACCCATTCGTTTTTGCATTGTCTATGGCTACTGTCATGCTACAACTGCAAAACTGAGAAGTGTGACAGAGAAGTATGGTGCACAAGAGTAAAATATTTACTCTCTGGCCCTTCAGAGAAAAAGTTTCCTGACTCCTAACAAATGCCACGTATTCACGTATTCCTTATCTCTTTATATCTATCCCAACACAGAACTAGAGTGCAAGTTCAAACTGCTTATATGTGCTTAAAACAATTACCAACATCCACGGAGTCTTTTCTACAAGCTGGATATGGGTCTAAGCCCCTTTCACATGCATCACCCACATTATCCTCACATTATTATGGAATAGAAATATCATTATGCCCATTTACAGATATGGAATCTGAGAATTAAGAACATTTTGTAACTCATCTAAGGTTGTGTAGCACAAAGAGGGTTCTGTCTGTCATGCCATTGTTACAGAATGAGTATGCATAGATGAGAATGGCTACAACACTGTTGGCTCAGCGACACTTTTGGGGATATTTATCTGTCTCTTCACACTGAGAGGGAGGTAGCTATCGTTCCAAACAGAAGCCTGTAAGGGAAAGGAGTTCACTAGTGAAAAACACCTAGCACATAATGTTAATCACTATTCATCAGACTTTTCACTCATGCATATAATGATTCAAGATACTTTAGATCATTAAATTGGTCCTGATGGACTGGAAATTATAAACCAGGAATCAAATTCCATTGCCCCTATCTGACTCACAAATTCCTAATGAGAAGATGAAAATCAGGAAATAGTAAGATAGTTTGGAGGATGATGTGGCAGCAAATAAAAGACAGTGACACTTGTTTCTCGGCTGGTGAGTGTCTTATTACCGACACATGCCCATGAGTCCAGTCTTCCAAGAAAACATTAGGGAAAGCAAGCAGGGGGATTGCTTAATCACTAGGATACCTCCTTCTTCCAAAAGCATCCAAATACTAGCTATCTTTGTACTTAAAACACATCTATACCATGATTCATTTGCTAGTCCCTTCTTTATTAAGCTTTTTTTTTTTTTTTTTTTTTTTTTTTTTTTTTTAATATTTTTGCTTCATGTCATTACTTTGGCCATTTTCTTCCTTGAGTTGTTGATCTTACCCTTTCTAATGAGTAGCTTCTGCACTAGAATTATGTTATTGCTATAGGTCCCATCTGAGGACTGCAAGCCAAATGCCTCCAATGTTCCAGCTGTCCAAAGGGTTATGGATAGTCAAATACATTCATTAATTTACTAATTCCTTCCCTCAGCCACTCAGCTGCTTATCCAAGTAGCAAATATTAATTATGTATATAATACTATTCTCAGTCTTGGGTATATAACAATAAATAGGGTTCTCCCCCCCTCCCTTCAGAACTTAGGATCTGTTGAGGCACACAGAATACTAAACAGATGTAAACAGAAAAGAAAAATTCTGAGTGATGATTGCAAAGATAGGAAAAGTACAAGAGGTGACAGAAGTATACAGAACAGAGAGGTTAGGCACAACTAACTATAGTTAGTTTGTGGAGTCAAGTGCAAAGTGAAAATGCAGGGACCTTTATTAAAAAATTACTAAAAATGTCAAGATGATGCGAGCAGAACATGACACCAAGTGTTGGGTCCTTCTAAATGTTGGGTTCTTGGGACTACATGCCCATGAAGCCGGACTTGCAATTAGGAAAGACGTTCTGAAAAAAGCACTGACCGAATTCAGGCCTTAAGGTCCAGCAGGAGTTGCACAATGGTTGGAATGACTAGTTCATGAGTCTATGGGCTACAGCCAGGTGAAACCACAGTGTCACTAAAATCCACTAGTTAATCAATATATTACAATTAGTGAACACCTGCCAGCTAGCTTATTCTTTGGTGGCACATGGAAAATGTAAGGTAGGTCATTCCTGCAATTCACTTTCTGTATAGGGATCATTTCAGCTCAACTGAAAACATGCACTGAGTACCCATTGTAAAAGAGACTGCCATGCACTACCGAGGTACAGGATGAATGAAAGCAAGCCCTACCCTGAAAATATAGTGCTGTGGATGAGGTGAACATATGGATCTTAATGAAAGATTGAGGCCGATAAGTTACAAGAAAAATGCTTTAGAGGCTGTAGTGGGGAGGGCTGTATTCCACCAAATTGGGAATGGTGGAAGCACCCCAAAAAAGTCTCCAAAAATGGGTGGTGCTTGCGATGGTCTTTGGAGGAAGGGTAGGGCTTCGACCAGAGAAGCTTCTGGGGAAACAGATTCCAGAAGGTGGAGTGGGGTGGGTGGGTACAATATGAGAAAGGTGACAAGCCAGAAAATAAAGGAGGTAAAATATTTGCTCTCTGTTTTATGGGACAAAAAGTTATTGAGTTAGACTACAGCACTGGGTCAGTCTAGTAGCTGAACTGGGAGTCTGTGGATAAGATCAGAGGAAAAGCTTGTATGGCAGGATCTGTCTTTAGTACAGTGGCATTGCCCTCTGGTAAAATCAGGTTGGCAGCAGTGTATGTTAGGATGAATTTGAATAGTTGGGTAGCACAGGCAAGGGTAGTGGTAATCTATCTAGGTTAGTGGTGATCTAGGTTAGGTTGTAAATGAGAATAGACTAAGTATAGGAGCTCCTTGCCTTCCTAAGTTATTGGGTTTGGGAGTAAAGTTTGGGAAAGAGGTGTGGTGGTTGGAAAGTCTGAAGCTTCCATATCTCATTTTTGGTGATGCTCCTAACAAGTCAGGAGGAGAAAAGTCAGGAGGAAAAACTGATTTTTGGAGAAGAGGATAAATCCTATTGAAGGCATCCATAGAGAGTGTGAATCTAAATCTTGGGCACAAAGTCTGGTTGGAAACATGAAAGTACTTCTTTCCTAGAGGAAGTTAGTGTGTGGAAGATGTTATCCTCAGGAAAGTTGTAGACCAAGCATGTAAGGTTTAGCTAAATAAACAAAAAAGATATTTGGGGAACATTTCCTGATGTTGGAGAATGACATTATGGAGAACAAGGAACATGCTTTTCTATACCAGAGAAAGACTCTCTGGCTGGGGAAGCACTGAACCAACATGGAATAGCCCCGGGAAAGTGACAGTATTTAGATGTCAGACTTATTGGCAGTGACATGGTGCCCTGCTGGGTTTTGAGTGTGATTGCTGACATCATTGCTTCTGAGGGTTCCATGTATGCTGACCACTGACCAGTACCCTATTCCACTTCTTTACTGGTTGGATAAAACTGGGAGCAGAGGCAAGAGTCATAGGATGCAGGGTGTCTTAATCTAGGGTCCACGGGCCCCCAAAGGGCTTTTGAATAGGATATAGGGGAGTTGTGAATATAGATGGGAAAATTGCATTTGTATTTGTCATTAATATTGGCAACAAAACACGATGGTTTTAGAAGTATTTATGACTTCCCCATTCATAGAAATCATAGATATTTTCATATCTCATTTTACAATTGTAGATGAAACCATAATTGTTTCATCTTAAATATTGATTTTGCTCATCACTATGTCAGGATTATTGTAGTTATTAGCCTCAATGCCAGGGGTTGCTTTTTAATGTATTAATAAAGAAGTACGTGTGCTACTATATCAGAAACTTATTTAATACTTTAGTAGTAGCATTTCAACATCATTTTTTCTTTTGT